ATATAGCTGAAAAGAAGGTGGAAAGGAAACGTAATCTAACAAGATCAGGTTCTTCAATATTGGTAACAAATCATTCCTTAATTATTCCTTCTATAGAAAATAAGGTTTCATGAAGGCATGGCAAACTGCAGTTTAAGCCATTAAAAGGCTGCATTTTAACTGAAATCTAATACTTTCCAGCCCCCAAATGAAGAAAAAGTTCCACTAAACATTTGCATAGGGTTTTCTTTCTGCAAAATATCTTGACACAAAACTTATTCCCGAAGAGGTTTAAATAAAAATTTAAAATTCAATGCTCAATTCCACAAATCAATGTACTACTAAATAGAAAAATTAAAATGTTGTGAATGTAGAATAAGTACTCAAAATACTGAATAAATTTACAACCTATGTTTCAAATGTTAAAAACTAAACAAGAAACGGCAAAATTACTGAAAACACACATCATAATAAACAACACAATTTTTACAACTGAGGAACAAAACATGCCTACCAAGCCTTTGATTTTTAATATATATGCAACATATCACATTTTAGTATTAAACATAACATCTCATACCTTCTGTAACTACGTATACAGTTGTACATACGATTTTATTTAACAAAGTTAATAGTTAAACGTAAGCCTAAATATTCCACATCTGGAAATTACTATCAGACAACCTAAAAAGACCAAACAAGTTTCCTTTCTAACGTGAAAAGTAATAAATACAGAAAGTCTTTCTTTTTTGTTTACTAAAAATTCTTGTTGAATATTTGCTTTCAAACTTAAACTGGGACTTAAGAAATCCTTAAAATATTTTCTAACACACTCCCCCCAAAGAAACTTAAGTGATAAATAAATAAAGAAAAAGATATTTTGCATAAGTCCAAAGCAAAATAACAGTGAATATACATTGTACCATTAAACATATTTCTTTTGATGATTCCAAGTTAAACAATGCGCAGTATAGCAGCTGTGCAATGTTCAGAAGGTTACGAAAATACCAAGTATTTATTTTAGTTTTGTCAAACTTACTAATATTAATTTGATTCTCTTAAGTATCAGATTGTTTCCAAGAAAACCATTTGTTATCTTCTAAATTGCATGCGTTTCCACAGACACTGCATCAGAAATACACAGAAGCACTTAAAATATTCCGTAATTGGTATAATTATTTATTTCATATTTATTTGAAGGGGGGATATTACCTGGGATGTTGCATGGAACAACTTTTTGTCAGTTCACATGTTTTAGACTGACAGATTTAACCCATTAACCGCCAAAACTATAAGGAATGATTCTTTTCTAATGAAAATAACAAATATTAAATTAAGCATTTATAACATAAATTTACATTGAAAATAAAAAATGCTCTTACCTGTGGAAAAAGCGAGTGTTGCGTTCACGCAATGTCAGCGGATGTTTAGTGAATAGGATTATACTCGTGCGATGTTTCCTTTAGGTGGAGCACTGGATTACTTTTTAGTTGTATAATGTTTTATAAATCTACAAATCACTTTACTTGTAATTAATTTAATATTAAAATATACATTATATTTCTTTTACAAATACAGATTATTTCAATTGAAAGATTCAAGCATGAAAAGCTTCACTACAAACATGATGTAAAGCTACATTACATACTTTGCATCCATAAACAGTCTGGCTATGGCACTCTTTACTACGAAGTCTTTTGTTAACATCGGACTTTACAAAAAAATGTCTATCATCTCCATGCAATTGTTTTTGAATGCTGAATTTCCTAGGTTTTCCTGCTGATGATCTATTTCTGGCTAATTCTACGCTCTCAATAGGAGTTTGCAAAAGGAATAATGCAATCTCGCACCTGAAATCTAAAAGAGACCTTTTATTTCCAGTAATAGAAAGTCGTGATATTTAGTAAGTTTAGATACGCTCTCACCTTATGCAATTTATCAGTATTGTCAATAAGACTATTGTCAGCTAAAGGCAAATTTTGCTTCATATTCCTGTACTGCAAACGTGATATCGATTCTCGTACAAAAGGAACAGAAATGCCCTTATCAAGAGACCAATACATTTTTTCTTGAAGTAAAGAAGGATATCTCGTTAGCAATGATATTCTAATAAATCTTCTCATATAGGCTTCAGATGCAATAAATTCTGGGAGTTTTTTTTTTTTTTTTTTTTTTTTTTGTTGAGCGTATATATTTGTCTGTTCAACGAGAAGAGAGTAAATTTCTAAAAAGAAAATCGAAAATCTCTCAAATAGTTTTTACCTTGTATTTTGTCTTTTGTAGTTTCTGTTCTATCTCTTTCTTTATTTCCTTCCTGAGACATAACTGACAGTTCTTTTTTTTATCAATTTCAAGTTTTCAGTTTTCTGCTTTTTAAACTGTTTCGTATGACTATCACTGCTTTTAGAAGGCTGAAACTTACTTCTTACGTGAATTAACTTCCCCAGCAATATCATTTGGTAAAATATCATTATCATTATTTAAAACGTTGTCATTCCCTTCTTTTTCATCACTAACTTCTGCAACTTCTGGGGGTACGAACAATATCAGTTTCATTCTGGTCATTATTAACATTATCACCATCTGTTTCTTCATCAAAAAATCTTTGAAGAGCTTCGTCTAATGTAAGATACCTCGCTACATAGGCATTTTTAAAGCAGCCAGAAGATGAACCAGAACATCGAAAGGAATGAGTAAAATGGAGGCAACACCTATTTTCCCTTCCTTCCCAACACAAATATAAACAGATGATTGATGTAATGTTCTGATAAACGGTGACCTTGACTAAAAATAGATAACTCATAAAGATGGCGATTCTTTCGTTAAATATTTTCAGCAAAAATACGAAAATTTTTTAAAATTTTGTTTAAATTTTGCTTAAAGTATGAGATTAATTATTATAAATAAAATTATTGTTGAAGGCAAATATTTTTTTTACAGAAATAATCTTCATAATATTCCCTACACAGAATCATCTGCTGGTATAAAATATCTTATGCAGTTATATTTATTTATATATGCATTTATTTTGACCGTTGCATCAACGCAACACCAGCGGCTAATGGGTTAAAAGAATGATGGCCAACACCTGTACTGACAGCCAATTTTATATGTGTGTTGATGACATACAGAGCAAGTATGGAATGCTTAGGAATGCAAGTTTATTTCATAAATATTTAGCAATCTGTCCTGGAATAACAAATATAGATAATTTCAAGGTAAGTCATATTTATTTTTGCTTTGCAAAATTACTGAAGGTAAAATTACACGAAGACTAAATACATAACTAATAAACACACACAAAAAAAAAAAAACGTAAACTTGATATCATTTTGTCAATAAAATATTCATGCCCATAAATTGCAAGGTTTAAATTTTAACACTAATGAGAAAAATACGAGTGTTCATAGGAAGCAACAATTTAAACCAAAGCCAAATCTCAACTGCAATTTTGTATACACTGACTAACAATAAGTATTTGGACACCTGTGATAAAAAGAAAAACTAACTTTATTCAAAATCAATAGTCGGTAGAGCCTCCACGAGATGTAATTACAGCGTGGACTCTCTGGGGCATACTTTCCACAAGTCTTTGTATGACAGCTAGGGTATTTTCTTACACTCGACTTGGAGAAGACATAGAAGTTCCTTCACCGATTTTGCACGGGTAGTGCACCCCTGAATTCGGCGATGCAACTCGTCCCAGAGGTTCTTGATAGGGTTCAGGTCTGGATTCTGGGCAGGCCAGTCCATTCGACGAACTCCATTGGCACCATACCAAGCCTTGGTTAACGTCGAAACATGACAACAGGCATTGCCGTCCTGAAAGTAACAGGGGTCCAACCCATAAAACTGCCACAACGTAGGAAGCACATTGTCATCCAAAATAGTTCAGTAGGCATCAGAGTTGAGCTTACCATGAATGGGGACCAAGGGTCCCAGCCATACCAGGAGAAACACCCCCAGACCATAATTCCATCTCCGCCGAACTTGACCGTTGGCACAATGCATTCTGGCAGGAGACATTCTCCAAGTAGACGCCAGACCCAGACCCTGCCATCCGAACGGTAAAGGGTGAACCTTGATTCGTCACTCCAAAGAACCCGATTCCACTGATCTACGGTCCAATTTCGATGTGCTTTGCACCACATTAACCGAGCAGCTCGGTTGGACTTTGTAATCAAAGGCTTATGGGGAGCAGCACGACCATGAAAACCAAGCAGATGTGCTTCCTTACGGATGGTATTCATTGAAACAATACTCCCGGGTGCCTGTTGAAACTCTTCGTGGATGAGGGCCATCGGTTGGGTGCGGTTCTTCCGAATTTCTCTGGACAGCACTCGTCGGTCTCTATCTCCCAGTTTCATTGGTCTGTCAACTCGGGGCATATTCCGACCACCGCTCACCTTCCACTTCTTAATCACATAGGCCACTGTCGATTTTGGGTACTTCAGATCCCTAGATATGTCCCTTAAGGATCGGCCACATTTGTGATACCCGATAATTATACCTTTCTCGAAATCAGAGAGCTCCGAACTGCGAGGCATCTTGCATGTGATAAAGCCGATGTCATTGTCATAAAGCCGATGCTGTTTCCTACACGATATATACCGGCGGAGTCCGTGACGTACCTTAGGACCGGAGATATCGTCATTTGCATAGGTGTCCAAATACTTATTGGTAGTCAGTGTATATATAATATAAATATGATTATATATATGCATCCTTAGCTTCCAACAGAAAAATAGGAAAATATGCATATGTTAGAAAATTTGTGGTAAATTATTGCTATCATAATTTTGTTAGCCACGAAGCAGGCCAAAGATAAGAACCTGAAGGGCCACATGCAGTCACCATTAGTTTAGTACATTTTAAGTATAAAAATAAACACTTCACATAAGCATTTGGCACAGTTCAAAGTCTGAATTAAAATTTATTCTGTGTCAATATTTTTAAGGAAAATACAATAAATTTTATTAAAAATGCATATATTGGCATGATAAATTTTAAACAAGGCAACAGATGTTCAAGTTTTTTAATATAAAATGTTAAAATTGAAACATATTAGGATATTCTCTTTCCATGTAAAATTTACATCATTTGTACTTCCAGAATATATGTTCTCTCAAAGATACCATAAAAAAAATTAAACAGTTTCCATTGAAGCATAACTAATGAACATGAATATATATATTAAAAAAACTTTCGTTCAAGACTTGCAAAATTAAGTAGAATGCCTCAGACACATGCAAACTTTATACTATATCATACGTGTTTAACAGCTTAAAAATATTAAAAGTACTTCCAAGACAGCTGCACTCATGCATTTTATGAACCCTCCATTAATTAAAAACAGCAAAAATGAAATTCTTTGCAAATTACACAGTTCATTGATGTATAAAATTAAATAGCTATAAGATTACAGATTTCAGTGATAATTGATTTAGAATGTCACTGATATTTAAAAGAAATATTTTAGCTTTTGAAAGGCAGCATAATATGATAAAATTATTCATGAACTACTCATGTAATGTCCCCTAAGGCACAAACCTTTTAAACATGTTAAAATTTTTCAAATTATCTGGACCAAGACCAATGTTACATACTATTAACTAACTTCAGATCTGTACAAGATTTTGAAAAGAGCACAAATAAAATATGGGATTTAAAATTACATGCATTTAAGTTTGCTAGGAGAAAATGTATACATACACAGCATGAACTGGACACAAAACTGTGAAAGTTATTATTCATCTGTCATATTGTAAGACTTGCACTGGAAGGGGGAGGAATACTGAACTAATTCATTTACAATTAATAATAAATCCACATCATTTTGCTGCAACTGCATCTTATACACTATTAAAACATTAATAGCCTCCAGATAATTATTTTAGGAAATAATGCTGAGTTATGAATGCCAATATATTTTTGAGAAAACTTTCAGATAAACAAATTGAGATTAAAAAGCAGACAGCAGGAAGAAAAAAAGTTTTCAATTATATACTGGATGGAAAATTAAAGGATAATTCATATAAGCAGATTTAACTCTAGTTGTTTAATCAGATATAAGTTAGAAATTTACATAAACTCTTTATATTTAATTATTTATAAAATGCAAACATATACAATGCAGTTCTGAAACAAGTTTTAAAATGCAAGAATGATATGAAGTGGGGTAGACATTAAATTTCTACAACACAACTAAAATGGCAATAATTGTTCAGCTATTTAAAAGCAAGTATGATAATTTGTAGGAGCAAATCCAACTATTTAATAAAGTGCACTTGCTCTTGCTACATAAAGTCTCAATTAAAGCAGGGAAGCAGACAGATCAACTCATACTCTCAGAGAACAGGGAATAACTCACAGATGAGTATTGCTATCATATGTAATCATTCAGTAACATGAATTCAGGGCTGAGAGCTTATTTACAAATATATAGAGCCTAGATCTCATCTCTACACGTCTGAGCATTTTAGAATTCAACTAAAAAAAAAAATTATATATATATATATATATATATATATATATATATAAACCACCTTTTATAGAGATATTTCACATCACTTTTCTGCAAACAGCAGTGTCTACTTTTAAATCTATGTCTTTCAGCATGTTTTTTATCTTCTTTCCTCCAGATTAGTATACATCTAAAATCTTTCTTCAAGCAAAAGCTAGACTTATTTCCAAAGAGAAATCAATTTCAGCTTATAGGGTTCCACTACATTGCTTTTTATATCATTTCAAGCATATACCTGTTTTATCTAATCAGGATATCACACAGCATGAATGTACAGTAAGGCCTACCACTCTCCTGTTATAGCAGTGTTGCCAGATCATACAATTTTTCAGCAAATTTGTGACTTGACAAGTTTGTGTTACTAAAATTTCATATTTGCGATTTTGTGAAATTTTTGTGACATCCATCATCTTCTGCTACTTTTGCGACTTCAAAGATTTTTTTAATATATCGTAAAATACTTTTATGTTAAAATAATGTATCAATAAAAATAATTTATATTAAAAAACAGTTTATTTAGGCTTAAACAGAAGTTGGCATCTGGCAATCTGATTTACATGTGGGCTTTCACAGTGTCAGCAAAATTCTGGTGACCTATCCTGAAGAAAAGTATCTTTCATACAATATTTCATGCAACATTCTAAATTTAATATCTGATTATGTGCTTCTCTCCAGATAAAAGTAAGCTCAGAGTTACCTGTAAGGCCACCAGAATGTTTCTCATTTCTGTAAAAGCTAATTTGGTTGGGCCCAGCAATGGTCATGTGGTTAAGACTGCTGAAAACTGGTAGTTTGACCAGGTTTGGGTTCAATACCAGGCAAATGGGATGGCTGCATGCTTGGTTTTCAGAGTATCACCCACGCATAATGTGAATACAAGCCATGATCTTTCAGAAAATCCTCCACTGAGGCATTCCTGTTCTTAGGCAGACAGCCATTATGCCTTTCTGTATTGAAATAACTTAATCTAACCTAACCAATGTGGTTGTACACCTGGATGGCTTGCCGTTCGCAAAAAGATACTTCATCAGTTTCATTAAACTGTTTTTCTTGATTTAAAGAGTATACATATTTGGGATATATTTAGTGCTCTGGATAATTTTTTCTGCATTGCATTCTTTCAACTGCCCATCACTTTTAACAGACAAACTTCATTTGAACAACAATTGGATAAAAAATTTTAGAATTAGTATTTTAGTCAAATTTCATGCAAAATTAGGCCAAAAATATGAGTTTTACTTTATTTTTCACAATTTATCCTTTAACTTTTCAATCCAGTTTATTTATGCAAAATATCTGGCATACATTAAAAAACAAATAAAAAATATTAATATGCAGATTTTCATACAAACATTCAAATGAAAGCTAAAAATTATGAGAATTTTTAAATCAGCAACTGAGCATAAAGCAGAAAATGGCTAAATTTTTTTAGGAACTTTATTTCATGTTACTTAAAATTAAATTTTAAATTCCGATTACTAATGGTAGATGCCCTATACATACTTAACAAATACAAATGTATGTTCTTCCCAAAACTATGTATTCTAATATATTTCAATAAATTAGAAAAGCAGACAATATTTTTACATTTTTCTAGAAGCACAGAACGTATCTTGCATTAAGATATTTCAGTAGTATTACAATCATCAACAAGCATTTACAATCAATCTGAATTCAAAGAATTAGATAACTTGTTAGAAGCCATAGAGACAAGAATTTGCTGAAAATCAGCTAATTCTTGTACTAATACTTCAGGTCCCAGATTATTACCTGAAATTATAGTATTATTAACTGTGGTGGTGGAAATGGTGGTAGTGGTGGTAGTGGTGGTAGTAGTGGCAACGTTACATGTTTCATTAGAAACACCCACCTGAGTCTCATCTTTTTCAGATGGTGTAACATTCCCAGAGCAATCATCTGTAGCTACCTTAGGAGGAGCTACAAATCTAGAAGGCATTCCTACCCTCTGGAGATTCTTATCAGCAATGTTTTCAGGTGCTACATCAGAACGCGGCGGAACTGGAGGCTTAGAACCAGTATCTTTCCTATGAAGTGCTTGTGGTGGCAATACTGGCTTATTAGGAGGAATAGGAGGTGGTGCTCCTCTTCCTATAGGTAACTTCTTGGCATTTGTGGAATTAGGAACAGCTGCTGTTCCAGGTTTATGAACAGACACAGAACTAGAAACTTTAACATTACAAAACACTTTTGAAGACTGTGCACTGATATCACTGACACCTTTTTCACCCTCAGGTGGAGATAACATATTTTCAGCATATTGTGGACCAGAAGCTACTTGTAATAGAGTTCCTACTCCATCTGAAACCGAAGAAGTTACTGGAGCTAAAGATCCTGGTTTCACAACTTTGGAAGAGCTTTTTAATGCAGTTGATGAAGGTGGGCTACACAATGGTGAAACTGCATTTGATGCAACAGCAGATACTACAGGTTTAGAAGCTGTAGCAGGACAGATCTTTGTAGGAGCTTGAGGAATGAGACCAGGAGGCTTTGCAGGCGTTGCAGGAGCAGGTCCAACTTTTGGACAAAGAGCACGAGCAACTCCCCGTGGTGGGCTAACTGTAGGAGATATTGTGGGTACAGCACGTATAGGTGGAGTTGAAACCATTGTTACAATAGTACTTCTCACACCTTCTCCTAATTGAGACAAAGAACTAAGACTAGAACTTGCTGATAGCTTCTGCAAGTTTTCAAGCTCTTCCTGCAACCTTTGTACTTCAGCAGTCAATTCACTGTTTTTTGCTTCTAATTCTGCCATTTCGGTTTTAAACTGTTCCCTTTCAACCTCAAACTCACATAACTGTTTTTCTAATTCTGCTTCCATCTGTAAGGATTTTTTACTTTCTTCTTCTAATCCATCAACCATGTCAGCTATTCTTCCTTTTTCATCACAAAGTATCTATACGTACAAAGGATAAACATTTTAAAAACACATTTACACCTTAAGAAAGAAAATATATTCTTCAGCATAAAATTGTAAGCAGTAGTTTAATTGAAAGTGGGATTAATTGCAAAAGCATAATTTTGTCTTTATAGCAATGTAATTTTACACAAAGTAATTGAATTCTAATTTTAGTAGAGTTTTTAAGTGGTTTTAAATAACACTATCTGATATAGCATGCAACTGCCCATGAGATCACTAGACTGCTGTCGAGCAACTGCTGTCACAGATATTAAATTAGAAGTATAATTATAATTAGTATTATAACTCTCAGAAGGAATATTAGAATCAGTACTGGATACTACTACTGAACTACTCATATTGCTTGATGAGCTACAATTCAACACATTTTTTGGCATTGCAAAAATGTGACTAGACTTGTATAAGTCTAGTTTGAAAGCTGCAATGTGACCTTCTCAGGGGATAAAAATCATTCAACTCATGAGGTGAGGGGAGTCTGGTTTCTCAGTAGTAACAAGGCTTATGCTCCTGCATCCTTATTGATTTGTGATTTTCTTTAGACCAAAATGGGGAGATACACACCTCCCTAACCACCTGAGCAGGTCCTGTCAAACAGTTTCCTTCTATCCAGAATCAAAATCCAAGTTTCGGAGGACAAAGGTGTCATATGACTGAAATTATCAAGGCCATTTGAAAACAGAACAGTATGGGATAAAAGGGAAAATCCTATAAGAACTACTTCAAAAATTGTCAAATGAAGAGGTAAGTACTTTTAACAGTACTTACCTCTAAGTGTTTCACTTTGTCAATTAGCAAAAATGTAGTTCTATTCATTCATTAATGAGAGCATTTAGATGAAAGTGAACAAATGCCTCCCACTTCTTTTAGAACAAGGATTTCTATTTGTTTTTATATGTCATATAACAGGCAAGTTATTGCCATACTTGGAGACAAACAAAATTCTCAGAATCTGTTAACATCAGAACTGTGGAAATATTGATAGACCTCATACTTTATGATTAAAAAGTTAACCCTCTTTATGGTATATCTATTAATGAGAAAAATCAGATATGCAGAACAAAAACTTGCATTACAAATTATTTACATAATATTAAAATCAGTAAAAATTTTTTTTTTGTACAACAAAAATACATTTTGAGATATTATTATTTGATGGTATGTGCTTGAAATTGTGATGATTTAAAACAACGAAATTCTCACGGTTATGGTTACATTGAAAATTTTTTAAAATTTTCAAATGGCAGTCCTTACTTTCTTCCAGCACAAACAATCAGTGCATTGAAAAACCATAAATGGCATTGGAATGATACACGTATGATGTAAATTTCTAGTCTAAAACATTTCCAAGGAGAATTGTAAAGGACCCATGCTGACAAAAGAGAGGAAAGAGGGAAAAAAATTCTATTGGAATTACAAGTTTTCAACGTGCCCACCTTCACAGATGATAATGCACTGCATGTGGAAGATTGCTGACAGCAGTGACAAATGTGACACTGCAGGAGGAATCTGTATAACTTCATGCTGTATGGGTTCTTTCAATTTTGACAAATCTCATGGATTTGATGTATACATCTTACATCTCATATAACCTGACCAGCCAGAAATACATAGCAATGAATTTGGGGGATTGCGGTGGCCACAAAACTGCAAAATTACAGCAGATGACTGTTGTAAAGTGTTGTTGCAGCACTCACTGAGCACATGTGGCTACGTATGGAGAAGCATCATCTTGTATACAAACAATGCCATTAACGACATTTTGCTGCTTTAATTTGGACTTGCTGAACACATGTGACAACATGTGGAGGAACATCATCTTACATCCAAACATTATTGGCATTTCGTTGCTGCAATTCTACAATTTTTATAGCGAGCACTTGTGATGGAGCACATTTTCATACCTGTAGAAGTCACCTTTTCAAAGCAGTATAGACCAAGAACAAAATGTACTTACAGTACCACACTACACAATCACTTTACCTTCATGTAAATGTCATACAATATCGTGAGGATTTTCATAGCCCAGGGAATACAGTTCTTAGAGTTTACGTTCCCAGTTAAGAAGAATAGTGATCACCCGCTACCTTCATATCTGGTGAGAAATGATGATGATCTCTTCTTTGCGAATGTTTGACTCTGGACATTTTCATCATACATGTATCGTTCGAAAACCATTTAAGGTTTTTCAATGCACTGATCAATTTGTACGGGCAGAAAGTGAGCGTTTCCATTTGAAAATTTCAAAATTTTTTCACTGTAACCATAACCATTAGAGCGCTATTGTGTTAAATCATCACAATCTCGAGTGAATACTTTCAAATAATAATATCTGAAATTTTTATTGGTTCAGCAGATAAGACTACTAGGGTTCATATATCGGGGAAGTTGTTTTAGGACTATCCTCTATTTTCACATTTACGGTGTGTACCGTACATGTTGGGACAAACTTGCAGAGGAGGTAGGGCACATCATAATGATTAAGAATTGCATAGGAACCTATACCCGGAAATGTCAGAGGTAGAAGATGGGAAAGGAAACAAGAGAGTGATTAATTTTAAACATTTATTGGACATGAATACAAATAGTGTTTCGATAGCTTGAATGTTACAACAGATACTCGAAGTTTGCCCCAGACACCAAACATGCCTCACACCGACGGACCATTGATTGCCAAACATGTTCAAACACACCAGGAGTTTCTTTGTTCGTAGCAGCTGTGCAGGCGAGTCTTGCCATGAGATCCATTTCAGACACAAGACGATCGTGATAAATGACACTTTTGATGGCTCCCTACAAAAAGAAATCAAAGCTCGATAAATCCGGTGAGCGTGGGGGCCAGGGAACTGATCCACCATGCCCAATCCATTGATGCAGGAGTGATCTATTAAGATGGCTACGAACATCCAGTCCAAAATGAGCAGGTGCCCCATCATTTTGGAACCACATGTAGCGCCTCACAATTGGTGGAATACCGTCAAGCAAGCCAGGAAGAATCTGCGGCATTCAGCCTGGATGGTAAAAGGCACGGCCCAACTAAGAAGTCGCTGCCCAAACCCGCCCTCACATTGAATTTGAAGTGTTGTGCTGCGCGGTGCCACACACTGTGGGGGTTTTTCTGAGCGCACAAATGCTGATTGTGGTGATTGAACACACCATCCCTAGCGAATGTGGCCTCATCTGTGAACACAGGGTTCGTACATATTTCTACATATGGAAATTAAGTACTTTTAAGGACCATTAATGAAAAAAATTAAGGACCTATGAGCGAATGGGAACTGAATAAATTCAATTAAAAATATTATATATCCCTGAACTTCACTTTTGTAATACCATTCTAAAAATAAAATAGATCCTTAAGTAGGATGTATTATTATATTAAACATGACTTAATTAACATAATCTTTATTACGTCTGAGAATAAAATATAGGAAATTTATCAAGGAGCATTATATATTTTACACTTATAAGAACTGAACATATTTGAAAGGAGATAGTGACATTTTATTTATGTTTGACTAACAGTTAGTTTTATGTTGATTTTATTTCATATCTCATTTTGTCACATATTTGCTCAGTCTAGATCTTTAGTCAATAGTACATAGATTTTATGTCAAGCAGCATAGGTTAAAATGAGAAGTAAAATCATAATCAGCATGATTCACAACAAAAGGCTGGCTGTTGTCACTTCTGCTGCTTACCTAGAGAGAGAACTATTGATCAGAACAAACCTGAAAGACCTGATGTAGGCACAGTTGGGGGGGAGGCAAGTTCTGAAAGTAGCTGGGCTCTGTCTGACGTCTTTAATGTCATAGCTTCGTGTAGAGTCCCAGGGGTTGTGACTCAGTTAATATACTTTAAGGTTCTAATAAGCCACTAAAGCACCAGCGGTGATAAGTTGTTTTGCATTATTTTAAGTCTCACTAGATGCGAATAAGTTTTAAATGAATTTTTACATTTTTGTGTTTCATCTTGTGATTACAGTAAGGGTTAATGAAAGGCAATAACTCACTTTAATATGCAGAGATAATTTTTAAGGGCAAGCAGTTAGTTTTAAATAATTAAATTAGGTATAAGATAACCTTAGTCATTATGGATTTACATGGCTACTATTAAATATTATTTATTTTTTAACAATATCTGTTCAAAAAGGCCCTATTAAAATCCCAATCTAATAAAATTTCACAGTTTAAAATACATGTAATTTACGACATTGATTCTTAAATGATATTCAGATAATTACACATTAAAAGTTGTAGCAACAATACTCAACAAAATATTTATGCATCTTTTTAATTTGAAGCCTTCCCAGACATTTTGGCTAATTTATATCAATTTCCTTCTCTTTAAGCACCTTTTCTAACAATTAGAAATTTGTCTCAGTACACAAAAGAATGTTCTCACTAGTTTCTACATGTTTTTATCTCCTAACCTGTCCACAATGTACCTATGAGGGTTTATTTGATCTGGTAAAAGTTAAATAGTCCTAAACACATCAAAAGATAGAAAGCAAATTATCGCTATGTCTGAAAGTAACTACAATATCCGAAAAAGGTTTAAGATTCTTATTTAAAAAGAACTTCAGAAATAAAGGCATATTCTAATGCTTACAAAATCAATTACAGCTTGTAGTGATGTAATGAAACAAGAAAAGTCATATTCAAACTAAAAATATGGATTAGTGGTCAAAGACTATACAATTTAATTTCATTTTAGGCTGGCTCAAGAACTCAATCATCATAACAAACTCAAATATTGGCAATGGTAATCCAAGACGAATAATTCCAAATTATCAGAGCTGGTAAGAACTAATGCAGGGAGCAAGTGGAGGTCAGAAACGTACTCTTGTCTTACACTCCAAAAATCTCGGTTAAAAAACTGTCTAAGTGATTTATTTGCATTCTGGTGAGAAAATGGAAATGGGAAATTATAGTAAAGGTTGAAATTGTAAACAATTGGGTAATTTACATAATAATAAC